GCATTGGACGGCCCCCCGCAGCGCGGGCAGGGCAACAATGGTCGGTATGTGTGGGGTGGCTTTGCATGGCTTTCCAAGCAGGGGCCACGGTGGCGCGGCAAGGGGTCAAGACGCCATCCTACTTCACACTGGGCAGTTTCAGACAGGTTTGCGTGGCTGCACATGTCCATTGCGCCTGGACGTCGTCGAGACGATTTGTTTCCAAGAGCACCACGCCAATCTCCTCGTACGGTGCCCTCAGCAATACAGGTGGTTGGACGTTGCCAAGAGGCTCCTGCAGCACCGCAAGATCCACGTCGGGATCGGGCGGCACATCAAGACGTGGCCGGAAGGGGTGAACTACGGCACGGCGCATTCGGAACACAAGCTGTCAGAGGATTTGGACCAGGAGTGCGTGCAGTGGTACACGGCCGGCACGCCCACGCCAGTGGCGCAGGTGGTGCCTCGCTGGATGCAAGGCGACAGTTGCGTCTGGCAGGTTCGGATGACCCCCTTTGCCTTCTACGGCGCTTGCGTCAAGTTCAGAGTGCGCAATAACGGCCAGTTCTGGGCGAAGGCCACCGAGCTCGACGCAGCAGGCGACAGAGGGCTGCTACCGTATCTCATGGAAACCGACTCCCAGAAGGCTGTGGGAAAGGTGTTCCAGGCCACGACGTCTAAAGAGAAGCTGCGGCGTGCAATCCTGACTCGCGAAAAGATCTTGGACGAGTTCGCCTCGCAGAAGACTTGCTCGCGTTCCTCAGCCCTCAGCAGCCCGTTGCTGCGGCCTGATGGAACAATTACTCTTGGTCAACGGACTCGGCGGCACTTTCCATCGGGAGGCGCTGGGGGCCCTGAGGGCAGGCCGCGCCAAGCAGAGAAACATTTGCTTGTTGAGGCCGACGGGGGGTGGCAAGAGCTTTCTCTCGAAGGGCGTGCGAGGCTTTTTCGAGGTGTAGGAGCGTCTGGACAGCGGCTCCTACCAGCTTGAGGACTTGCTCATCGCCGAGGTAGTCTGTCTCAACGATGTTCAGTACGACTCGAAAGCGCACGAGTGGATGCCATGGGCATTCTTCAAAGACTTTCTCGAGGGCTCGACAATGAAAGTCGCGGTGCCGAAGCAGCGCGAAGGGGGCGCGGCGTTCGCGCCCTTGTCGTCTTGACGAACGCCACCGAGGTGATGTTGAAATTGGTGCAACAAGGAGGTCGCGGGTGAGACGAAACAGAGGCTCAAGCGCACCAAGCACTTCTAGCTCTCGGTCGAGATCCCGCCAGAGCACCGCCATGAGGTCAAGCGGGCGCGCCCCCGCTGGTCAGCCCATGCGCACATGGAGGGCACCTCCTGGACCGCCCAGCAGGCGGCCCCTCGGCCGGCGGCGCGCAGGCGCCGCCCCCCGCGCGACCCGCCCCTGGCCCCGGCGAGAGCGCCGCCGCTGCCCTCTCGGCCGATGGGGCCCCCCGCAAAGAGGGCGCGGCTTGCAGCGGACTGCGCGCTCCAGTTGGAACAAGCAAAGAACGCGTTGGACTGCGGCGCGCTGGAGCAAGCTGAATCCGACCGCGCGACGGGGGACCTCCTGCAAGCTTCGCGACGGCGTCTCGCGCCTAGCAAATACACATCTCTGGGCCATCATCATCGGCATCGCGATCAGCATCGTCGTGGGTGCCGGTTGCAAAAAATGGCGTTTTCTTTTTGGCCCCCCGGCATTTTACAGTGTTCCCACTCCCGCGCGTCGTGGACTTGTCAGGTCTTTATTAGTTTGGGGGCAGAGCGAGCAGTCGTCGTTCCCCTGGCGCCGCGGCGCGCCCTCTGGCGAATGCCGCGCGAGCAAATAGTTTGCGCATCGCGAGTGTCGTTCGGAGCGTGCAATCACAGCAACTACGGCGCCCGGAAGAATTCCATAATCCATAATCCGTTTTACAAATGTTTCGTGGGTCCGCAGGTGCCGAGTAGACGTTGCAAGTTCTCAAATAAGAAAGGCCATCGTTTGTCAATAACAGCGAAGACCTGGTAAGTGCGGCACGCATCGCCCGTGGCAGTATATATATATATATACACACAAAAAAAGCCGGGGCGGCCTGGCGGGGGCGCAGCTATGCGATTTCACGGCCCAGACGCGCGCGGCGCAGTTGCGGCGGGCAGAGGTGGGGCGCGAAAAGGGCGCCGCGGCAGTTTCGGCTAAATCCAAGCACTTGCGCGCTACGCGCCGAGCGGCCGCGCCGGCCCGCGCAGGGCCGCGACGCCGCGCCGCGGCCGTTGCGTCGCGCCCCCGCTTGTCGCCGCTCCAGAGCGGGATGATTTACGCGGGCAGCCGCGCGGGCATGACCCTGGCAGACATCGCGGCAGAGGTGCAGCAGAGCGACGGCAGCTTCCTGACGGCGAGCGCGGTGGAAAACGCCACCCAGAAAGGCGAGGCCCACAGCGGGTCCGCATGGGGCAGCGCCCCGAGCGGGCAGGCAGAGCGGCCCCGGGAGACTCGGCAGCCTCGACAGGGATATCAGCTCGCTGGTACACAAGATGCGCGGGAGCGCCGCGGTGACCGCCGCGCAGGGCGATCAAGCCGGCCCGCAAAACCATTGTCCGCGCATTTCAGGGGCGCCTTCGAGAAGCAGCGCTGTTGCGGGAGCACATGGCTGCCAGGTTCGCGTGGGTGGTGTTTGCGGCGCCACAGACGCCGACCGTGCTGTCGAGGTGAGCATGCACAGACGGGGCCTCCTTCTACCTTGCGCGCGCGGCCGAGGAGCACTTGGGCAAGCGGCGGACAGCCCCTGGACGGGCGTCTAGGGGGCAGCAGACGGCCACGACGCGCTGTTGCAGGACTGCGCTGGGCCTTCTTGATATGCGAAAGCCCCGGGGAGATGCGTGCGCATCTGGGACTTGATATTCGCCCGGGTGCTCTGCGCCTGCGCGTTGCTCCAGGGCGAGGTCATGAACGCGGATCGGTGCACCTGGATCATCGAGAGCACGTTCCGCGAATGGCTAGGCGCAGCGCGCTCCCGGAAGGTGCGTATCTTTCGGGTGCAGGACCACGAGCGCTGCCTATGGACCGACGAGCCGCGCGACGCCTTGGACACCGAGAGCATCCAGCTCTTGGAGGAGTTCCCGAAGTGCAGCCACTGCCTTAGGCCATCAAGGTGGCCTGGCGCGAAGTGAATGCGCGCATGGGCGACGCTCTGCCGACGAGGCGGGAGACCCGCCCAGTTGTCCTGCGTCGTTTGCACCGCGCCGTTGCGTGGGCCAGTGCGAACAGGGCGAGGGACTTGTGGTGCCTATGCCACGCGAAGATAGAATGGGCGAAGGACGTCTGGGAGGCGAAGCCTCCAGGCGCGCGCACGAAGCCTTGAGGTGGAACATCGTTGTCGTCATCGACACCATCGTCGTCATTGACGCTGCTGCCCCGTCGCCGCCATTGCATCAGGCTGTCACGACATCGCTGCCATGGGCCGATAGACCGGTCCGCAGATTAGTCGTTGCTGGTCAGCTCACCCTCGCAGGCATTCCCCGCCGCTAGGTGGGGATAGGCCCCGCCACGCCCGCGCGAACATGCGTATATGATCCAGGGTCGAGGGTTCACAGGTCCTCCCCCGCCGATGGGATGGGCCCCGCAGCCCCCCCTTGCCCTAATGAGATGGGAGGGGGGAACGACGACGACAACAACGATGACCCCGACGATGACGACGACACCGCCGCCGACGAGTACGATGACGACGACGACGACGACGACGACGACGACGACGACGACGACGACGACGACGACGACGACGACGACGACGACGACGACGACGACGACGTCGACGACGACGACGACGACGACGACGTCGACGGCGGCGGCGGCGGCGGCTGTGGCGGTGGCGGCGGCGACGGCGACGGCAACTGCGACGGCGACGGCGACGACGATGGCGACGGCGACGGAGGCGGCGGCGGCAGCGGAGGCGGCGACGACGACGACGACGAGGACGACGGCGACTGTGAAAACGACGACGGCGACGGCGACGGCGACGGCGACGGCGACGGAGGCGGCGGCGGCAGCGGAGGCGGCGACGACAACGACGACGACGACGACGACGACGACGACGACGACGACGACGACGACGGCGACGGCGACAACGACGACGACGACGACGAACGACGACGACGACGACAACGACGAACGACGACGATGACGACGACGATGACGAAGATGACGCCGACGACGACGACGACGACGACGACGACGACAACCCCCCTCCCCCCGATGGGATGGGGAAGCGACGACGACGACGACGACGACGACGACAACGTCGAAAACAACAACGACGACGACAGAGGACTGGACCCCTCCTTCCCCATCACGCCATACCCACAGGGGAGGGGGGACCCATCGCGCGTGGGCGTGGCCCGCCGGCATCAGCACCGCAAAGGGGGGGGCGAGGGAGATCCTGGACCATGTATGGTGCAGGGCTAAGGGCTCCTCCTCCCCTCCGCAGTATTAATGGGATCGGGCCTCCCGCTCTTCCCTTCTGCTAGATGGGTGCTCCCTCTTCACGTGGTCGTGGCCTTGTGGGCGTGGTGGCCCTGCTGTCGTCGTCGTCGTTCTTGTCGTCGTCGCCGTCGTCGTCGTCCTCGTCGTCCTCGTCGTCCTCGTCGTCCTCGTCGTCGTCGTCGTCGTCGTCGTCGTCGTCGTCGTCATCGTCGTCATTCCTCTCCATCCCATCTGGGTGGATGGGAGCGAAGGATCCAGGGATACGTCCCATCGGGGGGTGTTTGGGGGGCGTTGGCCTAGGATCAGAAAGTCGCCGCCTACAGCCCTCGACACGGTTAACGTCACAAATGGCTGACGCCCCCCATCACGATCGCCCCAACTCAACCCCTTAGTGTCGACCCCCTCCGATGTCGAAGCAGAGCGAAACGCCGTTTCAAAGGGTTTCAGTCGGAACCCCCACGATGGCCGAGATGGGATGCGGGGGCGCCAGCAAGCACTTGGCGCGCAATGCCACCCAAACCCATCACATCACACTGACAAGGAACCCGCGTGACACATTTTATGTGGGGAAGTCGGCCAGGGGGCCCAAGGCCACGCCAGTGGGGACAGGGATTGGTGAAACGATGCTCGCAGGAGGTCGCCGCGTGCGACGCCGCGGGGGAAAAGCCGCGCGCGTGCGTGCTGACGCCGTGGGCGGAGTGGTCCAGTTGCAGCGCCACCTGCGAGGGACAGCGCTTCCGGCGGCGCGAGATCGCGGAGGGCGAGCCCGCCGACTGCTTCCTGGAGGCCGCCGACACCGTGGAGGAGACTCGGAGTCGGCGGGGGGGTCTGAGGTTGCGCGCACTGGTTCTGGCCAGCAGGCGGGGGGCGGGCAGGTTCGAGGTGCTGGGTTCGACAATGCGTTTTTACCCCCTTCGAGGTTTCCGGGGGCCGCTGTCGGGCTCCAGGAACGTCAAAAACATATCCGGGGTGAGAATCTTGCACCAGATGGACTTGGGGAGGGGGCCTGGGACCGATTTTGAGCGAACTTGCCTCTTCATCCCCCCGGCTCTTGACCGATTCTCTCGGGGCCCAGCCAGCTCAGAGCTGACCGCCTCCAAGAGGAAACGGAGCCTTGCGGGGCCTCCAGCTGCGGGGCGGGCGTGGACTGCGAGCTCAGTGAGTGGACCGAGTGGGGCAACTGCTCGCAGGCCTGCGGCGTGGGCGTGGCCCAGCGCTCGCGCGAGGTGAAGAGCCCCGGGCGCGAGGGCGGCCTCGGCTGCGCGGGCGGGCTCGAGGAGGTGAAGGCCTGCATGGCCGCCGAGTGCCTCGCGGTGGATTGCCAGTGGGCCCAGTGGGACGACTGGGCCGCTTGCACCCGGACCTGTGGGGGCGGCAACCACCGCCGCACGCGCACCGTGCTGACCACGCAGGAGAACGGTGGCGCGCCCTGCGCCGCGGAGGACAAGGCGGAGGTGGCGCCGTGCGCCACGCAGAGTTGCGAGGTCTGCATCGACGGCGCGTGGAGCTCCTGGGAGGACTTCGGGGGCGTCCAGGAGGGGGTTGGCGACTGCATCCCCCCTCGAAGTCAAGCGCAGGGCGTTTCCCGCGACGTGGCGGCGCCCCAAGACCCCGAAAACCTCAACACTCGCGCCGCAAATGGCGACCGCGAACACAAACATCGAACCCCGTGGGCCGCGTTTCGCGCGTCGACGAACCGTAAAAACTTGCGTTTGATCTCGAGGAGGGCTGTAGAGGGGTGCCATGGCCGCGGCCAGGATTGCCTCTCCATGTTTCATGGCCCCTCGTCGCACATCAGTGCGTTGCTCCCTGGCCTCCCCTGGTCCGCGCACATGGGGCGTTCCAAAAGAAGGGCCTCGCCTTCGAGGATCGAAGGAGCTAGCATCTCTTCCTCGGCGGAAGGCGGCGGAAGGTCGGCGGAAGTAAAACGTGGCCGCCTCCGCTGGCGGAAGCGGGCGGAAGCTCGGCGGAAGGCTGCGGAGGTAAGAGTTGCGCCCCCAAGAGGTGAACATGCTTTTTGGGTTCAGGGTGTCCGAGAACGCCCACATGTCTCCGACCATGATTTGCGAGAGCCCCCCTCTTGGGCGCCTTCCCCCCCCTTGGCCGCCCCCCGAGGACTGGTCGGAGTGCTCCGCCTCGTGCGGCGGGGGCCTCCGCGCACGCCATCGCGAGGTGGCGCAGCGGCCCAACAGCTGCGGGAAGCCGGCCGTCGGCCTGGAGGACGAGTACGACGTCTGCAGCACGAGCCCGTGCGAGGCCAAGAAGGACCTCAAGCAGTGGCGAAGCGTCCCGGCTTGCCGCCAGGCCCACCAGTGAATGTTCTGAGATCCCGGCATTTTGTTCTCAGACCGTTTTGGGGTTCGAGGAACATCTCGTGGTAGGCCTGGGGGAACGCCGGACCGGCCGGTCCCTGCTCGAGGACTGCGAGCTGTCCGAGTGGACGGAGTGGTCCTCCTGCAGCAGCGACTGCTTCGGCGTCCGCGAGAGGTCCCGGCACGTGGTGCAGTACGCCTCGGGCGGCGGGGAGGCCTGCCAGAACGAGTCCCTGAAGGTCGTCTCGCCGTGCCGCCCCGGCCCCGACGAGGACGCCCCCGCGGAGTGCGGCGAGCAGCCCCCGAGGCCGTGCCGCATGGCCTCCTGGGAGGACTGGGGCGCGTGCTCGGCGAGCTGCGACGGCGGACAGAAGAGGCGGCAGCGCATCATCGAGAGCCCGAGCCACAACGGGGGCGCCCCGTGCAACGCCTCCACGTCCGAGGAGGCGCCCTGCGGCACGGAGCCCTGCGACGCCGAGAGCGGCAACGACTGCCGCTGGGGGAGCTGGTCGGAGTGGAGCAGCTGCGCGCAGTGCGGCGGGCAGCGCAACCGCCACCGGGCCATCGCACGGCCGGCAAAGGCGGGCGGCATCCCGTGCGACGCGGGCAGCAGCCAGGAGTCCACGACGAGAAAGCGGCGTAAGCATAGGCTTTCGGAGCTCCGCGCGGATGTCTGGGACGGCAGAGGGGGATGCTCGAGACGATAGGGGACTGTGTGTCGGGCTATGGTGTTCCGGACGGCCCCCGGGAGTTGCCCGTGGGGCCGGGCGGCGATCCCCGGCGCGGGGAACCGTCCGCCCCCGTTGGGTGCCGCGCCTTGGGGAGCCGGGGACGCCGCGGCCCCGGGGGGGACCCTTAGGGCGGGGGAGCACGGCGTCCCCGTCCGCCAGAGGGGACGCATGGACGGCGGTTGGGACCCGTGGACCGCGGTTGTCAGAGCGTGAATTACCTACCCCGCTTTCGCTTCCAGGCAAAACCAAGTCATACCACGCGCCTCCTCGTCAAGCGGCCTGACCAGTACAGGCCGTAGTTTGGCATCGCTTGGTATCTCTTGGAAGCGAGGGTGGTCAAAAGCGAGGTAGGTTTGTTTGCCCCCTAGGTTGGGCCTCCGATTCCCTGCTTCGCCAGAAGGATCTCGGCCCTCGGGGTGCCTTCGGCAGCTGCGCCCTCGTCGAGGGCGTTTTCCGGGGGGGCCCGCCTCGTCCCGAGGCGGCCGGCGGAGAGTCGAGCTGTGGCCTTCAACGAGGGGGGGAGGAGGCGGCAGGGGTGCAGAAGCAAGAGTACAGTCGGGGCCTTGAAGAAGGAACCCTTTTCGTTGGGGAGGGGCTCCGCGCTCCTTAAGTGTTTCACAGCTTGCCTTAGGCTTCCCTTATGTCTTCGACCGGAAATCGGAGGTTCACTTTATGGAAAAAGGGGCCGCGTTCCTCATTTAGGGTTCCTTAGGTCAACGCCCCGACTGTAGGAGGGAGAGGGGAAGAAGGCAAGCCAGGTGCGCTCGCGCCTCATCTGACACCCCATCCCTCTCCACCCACCAAACCACCCCAACCCAACCCGAAAGGTCTGATTTACCCTCGATTTCTAGTAGGGGGGGGTCTGGGAACATCGAAAAAACACATGTGGAGCCCATACCCCCCCCAACCCGAAATTCGGGTTTTCGGGTTGGAGGATGAGGAGGAGGAGGAGGAGGAGGAGGAGGAGGAGGAGGAGGCGCGGGAGGAAAAGGATGATGACGAGCAGCAGCAGCAGCAGCAGCAGCAGCAGGAGCTTAAGCGGAAGACGAGTGCCAGGGGAAGGTGAAGGACGGGAAATGAGGGGGGCGGCATCGATGAAGAAGACTCGGATTCCAAACAGTGGCCCGCGCTGGAGCGGGACGAACAGCCGCACCAGAAACCAGGAGCGGGAGGGGGAAGGCGGAGGAGGGGAAAGGAGGAGGGGGACCACGATGACGGGAGACTCGGATCCAGAGTCCAGGCCCGCGCTGGGGCGAGAGCGCCGTTCTGAACGACGGAGGAGGAGTGCCGATCCGAAGATGAGGCCCACGCCGCAGCGGGAGCACCACTTTAAAGCACCGAACACAGTGGGATTGCAGGGCACCATAAGAGCAACCAATGTGTGAAGTCCCGTGAATAAGAATCGACACGCGGAGAAGATGCGGGAGATCTTCAGGATATGTTCAGGGGAGGGGGGAGAGAAGTATTGATTGCTTAATCGTAGAGGGAAGGTGAGCGCAGATCCAAGAGTTCGCGCGGAGTTTCGAAAGTTTTAGTTCATGCGGCGTTTCGTCCTCCGAGGAAGTCGAGCCCTGCGAGAGCGCGTGCGAGCAGAGCTACTACTGCACGTGGTCGGAGTGGTCGGGGCTCGGTGGTTGCTCTGCCGAGTGCGGTCACGCCTCGCAGATGAGGCAGCGGCAGCTGGTGTTTACAAAGGAGAAGCCCTCGCACGGCAACATCCTGTTTGAGGGTTCATACGACCTCTCGTGCGCGGGCTCGCAGATCAACGTGAGCGCGTGCCCCTACGTGGACTGCGCCCCCAAGTGCGAGCCGCAGGACTGCGTCTTCAGCGACTGGAACGAGTGGACGGAGCCCACCTGCTTGCAGCTCTGCGAGCGCCACCGCGTCATCCAGAAGATGGACAGCTGCGGCGGCAGGCCATGCAACGGCTCCCTTCTCGAGACCAAGAACTGCGGGAAGACGTGCGACCAGAAGGAGGACTGCGTGATGTCCAGCTGGAGCGCCTGGGTGCCGCCCAGGTGCTCCAAGACCGGGCAGCAGAGGTTCCGCACTCGTGAGATCCTGCAGGCCCCGAGCGAGCTCGGAAAGCCGTGCGTTGGGTCCATCAACGAGACCGTGTCCTGCATCGTACCGCCGCCGGCGGCCGTGGACTGCAAGCTGTCCGAGTGGGTGTCCTGGTCCGAGTGTACCCGCACCTGCGACGGCGGCTTGCGCAGGAGGGCGCGCTCCATCGAGAACGCCTCCCAGTCTGGCGGGCTGCCCTGCAAAGGCCCTCTGGAGCAGCTGGAGCCGTGCGCCACGGAGCCCTGCATCCACAGCGCGAGGCCGTGCGAGCTGGGGGCCTGGTCCGAGTGGAGCAGGTGCGACGGCAACCAGATGCAGTCGCGGCAGAGGAAGGTGGAGCAGGAGGCGGACGACTCTGGAACGCAGTGTGCGGGCCCGACGAAGGAGACCCAGCCCTGCAGTGCCGTGGTCGACTGTGTCGTGTCCGACTGGACCGCGTGGGACGAGTGCGACG